CACACACACACACACACACACACACACACACACAGATTTCTAATTATATCTTTGTGGGGACTCTCCATTCATTTCTCTGGGGAAAACTCTAATCCCAACATGACGACCTTAACCACTACCCAGCCCTAACCTTAACCATAAGTAACCAAATAAAATACGAGACTTTCAGCATTTTTAAGTTTTTTGATTGTATTCACATATCTTTGTGGGGACCTGAAGCTTACCTAGGACTGCATGTAAGATTTGACCGCTGCTGGTCTCCCTCATAATACACAGGGTATTTTTTATTTTGATTTTCCTGGAAGCTTATGTGATGACAAATTAGCCTTTTATCCTACTGACAAATATAAACAAATGTGAAAGGCAATCTCACATATGAAATATGTTTTCAGGGTGAAGGCCTCAGTTTGAAGAATGTGGTCGTCCTGTGCGCCGTACAGAAACCAGCGGTATGTGGATCTGAAGCAGGAGTGCAGGGAGGCGAAGACGCTGTTTGAGGACCCAGAGTTTCCAGCAACAAACAGCTCCCTCTTCTACCGGAAACCCCCCCCTGGGCGTGTCGAATGGAAGCGGCCAAAGGTGAAGCAGGGTGAAGTACCACAGTGAAGAAATAATAATAATAATAATTTCCTTTATTATGTACAAAATAAGATTGTTATTATATTTACATGTATATACAGTACTGTGCAAAAGTCTTAGGCAGGCAAAGAAAATGATGTTTAGATTATCCTCGTGTTGGTGTAAAACTATGATATTATGCCTGTCAAAGTGTGTCAGCTGAGCCATTTCAGAACCTCTGCTAAATCACCCCAGCATTTGCAGCGACCGTCCAGTGCAGCCATGTATTTTTTGACTTGGCCACTAGCACCTCATACAGCGAGTCAATCTGTCACTGATTTTTTAAACCAATTTATTTAATTATTTAATTGAGCTGTTGCTGAAATTTGACAAACTCATGGAACGGCTGAGGTGCCCCTGAGGAGAGGTTTGGGAACTGAAGTGGTGTTCATCTAGCCATCCAACTAGATATCAGTAACTTTTTAGAAAACAGAAAAAATTATTACTGGTTTTTATTGTTACTCTTAATTTGCACATGTTCTAATGTTAAATTGTGTTTTTTGTTCTAAGCCAAAGTACACTTGCTACCCAGATAAACAGCTTTAAACATTTCTTTGGACTGCCTAAGACTTCTGCACAGTACAGTATGTCCCCCCCTCCCCCCCCCTCCAAAGTCTTGTGTGTATAAGTTGCTGTTTCTGTACACAATTCTACCTGATTTATTTTGCCTGTTTCTATCACACTCTATTCTCTGCTCTGGTTAACCTTCCTGTGGTGTTTGGGTTGGCACCGGCCTGTTTTTAAGTTTAAAATGTATAAAATTTGTGTACTGCATCAAGGCTTTTTGGCTTTGTCAGGAACCTCTATTTATATATAAAATATGGCCAAGATTATAACAGCTCTGGTGTTGGGGTCTGCACCGACCCCATTTTAAGTTTAAAATGCATAAAAGCACCACATAAGATTTGTGCACTGCATCAAGGCTTTTTGACTTTGTCAGAAATCTCTATTTAAACAAAATGAATTAAAGCAAAATCAAGGCAAGGCATGCCCATACATGTAAGGCAAGATAAGACCAATTCAGTTTATTTATATAATTCTCTTGAGGTTTATTTTACCATTATTTTTTTTTATTGAAAACGAGAGGCAATTTGTCAAAAGAAAGGTCCAGAAAGCCACACCAAAAATATTAAAACCAATCTTTTCATGGATAAGGAAGCCTAACAACCAAGAGGTATGAAACAAATTGGATGATAAATAATTGTTTTGAGGGTATTTTATGGCTGATTTAAGACACGGGTCGGCACCAACCTGTCTAATATAAGAGATTGGAACAGAAAACTAACACAGGATGAAGGTTAAGCTACTCTAACCTAGGATTGACCTTGGATTTCTTGGTCATTTTCCTCCTAAAGGCAAAATATTTGTCCCAGATGTGTACAATTCAGTCCTGGCATGTGTACCAGGCCTGGCTGATGAAAGCTAACTGCTGCACTTGAAGGAAACGTAGGAGTGGGGTTACCCCTAGGATGCATCGTGTCGTGTCGTGCGCAGAACATCATACCTCACCAGCATGATTACAATAGAAGTGACACACTCACTTTGAAACATGGTGGGATTTCACACAGGACCTTGTTAGTAAGTTCCTTTGTGATATATGTTCACTCTCTGCATCCCTTGGTAGATTTCTGGTGGCTTGTTTTTTTTTTACGAAGAGTTATAAATAAGCAACATCTTGGTGATGCCTCTTCAGATTGTTGATGATCTGCTCGACTGTCATGAAAGCCACACCGGATGTGCTTCTAAAAATGAAGACCCCTGTCTGCTTTTAGATGTTTGTGGTTATGAGTGTATGTGATGCATGTCACCTTTAAGTCACCTTCACTTTTCAGGGATATATACTTGTTCTGAAATAATGAGATACGCTCAACAGAGACAGAGGTCATTCACCAGTACTTGAGTTGTCAGGTGGGATGGCATATGTGGGCAAGTTTAGGTTTGTGGTAGCAAAGGAAGGGTGTATTCACATAGTGTCAGTGCGGGGGGTGAGAGGGCCCTGGGCCCCCAAATGAGCGCCTATGCCCCCCCCCCCAAAAAAAAAAATAATAAAGACTGATCAACAATTTTTACTGTCACCCCCACCAGATGAAGGCCTTTGCTATCGCCCCAGCCTCCATGAACATCTTTTGCCATTGTCACAACAACTTTTAACCACACCCATGCCCCCCCCCCCCCATTAAATTTTGGGCTAAGTGAACAGATAATCAAACAGACATTTCAACTCTAACAAGGGACCTCAATCATGACGAATACGAGAGAAGAAAGATTTGAACGGAATGCGGTTTCCCTCCTGAGATTACACTGCCTCCCTGTGACTCCCTGTTAGCTGGAGAAACCCTTTATTTATATTATTAATAATTAATAACTGATAGAGAGTCTCCTGACTTCTCCCCCTATCAAAACATTCATGCCGTCCCCCCACCTGACAATAAACTAATCTATTTTTAGTTTTATGATTCTCCATTTTTCCCCATTAAGGATCAAGATTTGTACTTTGTATTTATACAAACAAGGTCACAAGGTCTTAGGAAATAAGTATCTGAATACTTCACAATGAGGTCATACTCTTAGAACGCTAAACCTTGCAAATCGGTGACTTTCTTAAGTGAAAAAGAGGCACACATTTCCTGAAGGACTGACTTTGCGGGAAGGTTAATGGACTTCCCCTGCAATTCATGTTTAAAATGTCCTGCCAATAACCGTGTTTGGTGGTGACTATAGAGGACAGATTATGGCCTGCTGGCGAGAAAAAAATCTGTCCAGTCCTCGCCTTCATTACCTATTGAGAAGAACACTTCTCGGGGGACACAGAGATCTGTCATACTTGCCGTATGTGTCAGACTGATTCACTTGACCCCAGACAGGAGGGTCTCATTGCCCTGGACGTTCAGGCACTGCTTATGTAAATGTAACACAAGTTCAGATTATAAGAGACAGCTTGCTGCTGCAGCCACCTGACATGCATTCAGCTAAAAGATGTTCACCATCCAGACAAAGCCTGACCTATGCTCACCTTGCACAAAGCTTTGACCCAAGTCGACTGAAGTTCCTCTGCAAGTTGGAAGTAAACACTTCATAAGAACTTAGTTTCACTTTGTAAAAAATGTTTACAGTGAAATTTATAACCAGTACTTATAAAAAGTGCCTAAAATGCTTTATATTTGCATAAGTATTTATACCTCTTGACCAATATTTTTTAAAAGGTCTTTTAGAGGAAATTTTTACAACATTCTCCTTGCATTTGTGTTGAGTGCTCTTCTCTTAGGAGAGTTTATTAAAGTATTAAGTCTGTGGTTCTATGCTGGCCTGTGGTTCTCTAGCGATCACCTTCTCCCATTCACCACAGGAGATCTGTGACGACCCTCGCCTCTTTGTCGAGGGAATCAGTGCCCATGACCTTAACCAGGGCAAACTGGGGAACTGCTGGTTTGTGGCAGCCTGCTCCTGCCTGGCTCTCCGACCAGACCTATGTAAGAAGGTAAGTCTGACAGCCACAGAGCCTGTATGGCGTGAACATACCTGTAAGTACTATGTTCTCAACAAATGGCCAGTGAAGACTTTCTGTTTTCTCACTTTTAGCACAAATAAAAATTAGCTTATCTATGTTTAAAATAAACATAGGTGGTTCGAGACCCTATGCAGAAAGGCTGTAGCCCAAGGGCGTATATTTGGGTTTGGACTGTAGGGACATAAGAGAGAGTAGGGTGTGTGTTTTGGAGGGTGGGGGGCTTGGTCCCTATCAATGTTAAAACCAACATATCAATATATATATTCATTTCTATGGGGAAAACTCTAATCACAATGTGACGACCTTAACCCCTACCCAGCCCTAACCTTAACCATAAGTAACCAAACAAAAATACAAGACTTTTAGCATTTTTCGATTTTTGAATGCATTCACAGACCTCAGTAGGGACCTGAAATGGTAAGGAAATGGCAAGGAATTAAGTTGAATTATTGCAATTTATCTTATTCAAGATATACATTGTGCTAGTCAGTCAATCATTTCATCTGCTGATAGCTATGATAGTTATCTTTTCCTTTGGGGATAAGATTTTTAGGGACACAAATGAGTACAACCCTCAGTAGACTTTTCTAACAATAATGGTGTCCTTTACCCTGACAGATTTAATATTGTTAGCTTTATGTTCACCAGATGTGTGTATAATGGTTGTATAATGTTTCTTATTCAAATGATATGAAGGCTAATTACTCTGCAATTAGCAAAGCACTGAACCATCACCAGTAAAAACATCTTAAAAATCAAAGAAATAATTATGAACATCACATTAACATGTAACTGAGTACCTGGAGAACGAGCCCTAAATGATTAAGATCTGTTGTATGCAGACTTTGTTTGCTGACATTGGCTCAAGTTGCTTTATTTAGCAGCATACCCTGTCTGGAAATGTAATTAGTCTGACAGCATTGACCCAAAAGTGATTTGCAATGGAATGTCGACTCCAAGAGAAACCTAGAACATTCCAGACACCAGAAGTGTGTTACGTGATTAAATTCATCAGTATTTTTTTGTCTCCTCGAACTGCAACTGCACTGCAGAAAAAAGCCTTGAGAAAGTTAGTCCAGTTCCTGTATTTATATTCATACAGTGTATGCTAGCATCCAACTGTCAATAAACTACAAGCATTTTTCTCCTCAGACTGTGGCCTCTGGCTGTGCAGCCACAGAGCTTTGCAATAAAGCTGAAACTTGTGAAATGCAGCATGAAATATTGAAGCTCCTCTGCGCAGGTAATTCCTAATTTGAAGGAGCAGGAGTGGGACCTCAGCCACCCTGAGAACTACGTTGGCATCTTTCACTTCCAGTTCTGGATCTTCGGAGCGTGGCTGGATGTCGTCGTTGACGACCGTCTACCGACGATCAACGGGGAGCTCATATACTGCCACTCCAAGACACGTAACGAGTTCTGGAGTGCCTTACTGGAGAAGGCTTACGCTAAGTGAGCTGGAGAGAGTATTGCCACACTGCTGTGCATGGCTCCGGAGCTTTCTTATTCAAATCAATCAATGTCCAACTTTGTCGTTGACACCGTTAGGTCCTTTTAGCATAAACATGGACTTGTTAACAAATGACATAAATATGCCTTGTATCTAGAAGGATGGTTGGATAACTAAATATTAGGCTGGAGAAAAAATGCTGTTAACAGAGTTAAAATTCCATGACATATATGCTATTAATCTCAGATCTGTAAGCCTTAAAGGCAAGTGCTGATGATGTAAATCCACATCCCTGATTATGTAAATCCACATCTCCGATGATGTACATCCACATCCCCAAATGATGTAAATCCACATCCACGATGATCTACATCCACATCCCCGATGATGTAAATCATCTGCTGCTCCTGCTTGTTCATCCCAGGCTGTCACTGTGCTACGAGTCCCTAGACGGCGGGAATGCGGCAGACGCCGTTGTGGATTTCACCGGGGCGGTGGCTGAGTCCATCGACCTCGAGAAGGGAAAGTACGCCACCGAGACGCCGGGCCGGGTGAAGCTCTTTGAAGACCTTCTCAAAGTGTTTGAGCGGGGCGGCATCATCAGCTGCTCCATTAAGGTGCATGCACTTTATTCATGAAGGCAGGTGCAGCTTAATCAGCAGCATGTTAAGCCATCCTTCCTGCAGATCAGACTGTAAAGCCCTAGGAGAGCTACAGGATATCATAATGGACCTTCTCTATATTATACAAAAGCTGCTGGTTGCTCCAGACCTTCTGACTGTTCCAGGAGGATGAACAATTCAGGGAGCCCCCCCCCAATTCAAGGATCCCTAAAACGACAGGTCTAGGAGCCCCCCCATGGAGGATAATTCGTCCATTTTGTTTGAGTGGGAAGATGAAATCCTGCCATTACATTTATGTATCATTTTTTTTTGGCTATTATAAAATGATAGATATTTGTATTATGTTCATTAATATACATTTTGTTTATATGTGATTCATAAGTAATATGCTGTCTAAAATGCTGATGGTCAATGTTCTTGTGGGGCAGAAATTTCAGGGGAATAGGGGGAAATGTTTTTTTTTCCCATTTAACTTACAGTGTAAGTTGTAAATAATACCCTTTTTAAGAATTCATATTTTCAAACAAAATGTGTTTTCATTGTTATATGATGCTTGAAAGTTCAGTGACCATTACAGAATTTTTGCACTCTTGCTAAAAATCAGAAGATTAAAATGATGCCAACACACTTGATTCCAACAATCCCCAATGATCCCAAAGGTCGTTCATAAGTGTATTTAAAGTGTAAACTTTAGGGGCCTTATGGGGAATTGAGTTCTGAAAGCCCACACTGCACTTTTCACATAAATCCATCTGAAAATGCGCTCTGCTCGCCGAATGGCTCGGCAGCACGGGTGACCCTGTCGTCTGTCTCAGGCATCCCCAGACGAGATGGAAATGCATTTGCCCAGCGGCTTGGTGAAAGGCCACGCCTACTCTGTGACAGCCGTCCGGAAGGCCCGGCTCAGACAAGGCCTACTGGAAGCCGGTCTGAAGCCGGAGAAGCTTCCCATGATCCGCTTGAGGAACCCGTGGGGGAAGACTGAATGGAACGGTCCATGGAGCGACAGGTAGGCAGGGCAAGTTCCTCTGAGACAGAATATGATAATACAGACCTGGGCAAAAGTTCTAGGCAGTCAAAAGAAAAGTTTAAAACTATTTATCTGCGTAGTAAGTGTACGATTGCTCAGAACAAAAATCATAATTTAACATTACAACATATAGCTACAAATTAACAGTACCAATAAAAAGTAACAAGAATTTCTTCTGTTCTCCAAAAAGTTACAGATATCTTGTTGGATAGCTAGAAGAACACTGCTTTGGTTCCCAAACCTCTCCTCTGTGGCACCACAGCCATTCCGTGGATTTGTTACATTTCAAAACTAGCTCACTTAATTAATTAATTCAGGTAACCAGGTACCAATTAACCAGGTATTGACTAGCCATACGAGGTGTGATACATGGGAATACTGATATACTGGGTTGACTTCAGGACAGGGCTTGATATGGTTACTCTACCACATTTTTACAGACAATAAATCATAGTTTTACTCCAACATAAAAATCATTTACACTTTTCTTAGACTAAGACTTTTGCAATGTACTTTGTATTTCTACCAAGTCTCATTACTCCCAATTCCTGTTTCAATAGCATGATATTACTTTCTGTTGCTTCTACAGCTCAGAGGAGTGGCGGAAGGTAGGAGAAGCTGACCGGGAGGCCCTGGGAATCACAGTAGCAGATGATGGGGAATTTTGGTAAACGGTCTCTGCGTGCGACAGTACGGTGCTTTTCCTTGCTTGTCACCTTCTGTTTTAACATTATGAAACACATCCAAATTGTTTCTCCATCCATCCATTTTCCACGCCCGCTTGTCCTGCAGGGTCGCGGGGGTTTAGAGCCAATACTGGGAGTAACAGTTGACAAGGCCTAAATTATAATTCAGGCTGAAATTGTAGTCATGCTTAAGCTGGCTGTCGTGAAAAAAGTAGATGAATAATATTGATATCTACCAGCCCCAGAGTTTTGAGCAGTTAGTAATCTAGTTAATGACTGTATTTTGCTAAATCATGCAGTATATAAAAGTCTGAATGCAGTTTTACAAACGTAAATCTACAGGACATGTCAATGCTTTTTTAATAACATAATACATTTAACTTATTTTAACTAGATAAAAAGCTGGTTGCAGTATTTTTTATAATGTCAAAGTGATCTTAATTGCATTTATTGAGGTACTGAGCCAGTTTTTCTGAGTGTAGTTTACAGAGAAGGTGAGCAGAATAGAGAATAGGCTTCCTTGGCCTCCATGCAGGATGCAGTTTGATGACTGGTGTACGCACTTTTCCGACGTCGATATGTGCCGCCTCATCAACACCTCCCTGCTGAGCTTCCACAAAACGTGGAGCGAGGTGGTTCTCTTCGGCAGCTGGGTCAGGCATGCGGAGGCCCTGAAGAACCGTTGCGGCGGCTGCATGAACCACCGGCAGACCTTCCTCCAGAACCCACAGGTCTTCATGCTACCATGACAACAACTATCTTGCAGAATATGTTGCCATCGCTGATTCTATTCATTCTGAGTCTGAAAGTCTTAGTCAAAGAAAATATTTAAAGCTCTTTATCTGTCTAGTAAGTGCATATTTAACATTTGAAAATATGCAAACAAAAGTAACACACACAAATCAACAAATACATGGGTATATTCCATAGTTTCTTGCTTGTTCTGCATTCTGCACATACATAATGGCTAAGCTAGCACGCTTTGGCAGACACAAAATCATAGTTTTGCAGCAACATGAATATCATTTAAATGTAATTTTGACTGCCGAAGACTTTAGCACAGTAGCATACATGGAGTTGATGGGCCATCTTCTTTTATGCTTCAGTATATTTTTGACGTGGTGAAAGAGGAAGATGACGTGCTGATATCCCTTCAGCAGAGAGACACGAAAGTGCACCGGCCGGCGGGCGAGGGTGACAATCTCACCATTGGCTTTGCTGTTTTTAAGGTACGTGGCAGGATGAGGTGAACTCTGCAGTAAGCCCTGGCCCTCACAAAACACCAAACTGCCTCGTTTTCTTTTTTAAAAACAAGATGAGAAACTTACATTTGTTTTAGGTATTTTCAAGTGAGCCTCAATACATTTAATTTCTGAAACCTAGTGAAAAGATGGAATTCACAATTATCATTCATTAGCTTTCTAATTAATGATCCAATTAAAGAACTGAGCATTGATTAAAGTTGTATTTTTCTTCTGCTCTTGATTCTATATTTCAATTCATGTAGTTTTACTATTTAATGCAGCAAGAGCTCTACTAGAGAGCTGTTTGAAAGTGAACTTCACTATAGCAAACCTGTTAGCAAAAGGGAACTAACGCTCTTAGGTATTTGCTGCTTTTATGGGCACAACTGCTGTCAACAATCTTTAGTTTAAATGCTTAATTCATATTTGGTGTTGCTGGCAGAAAAACAGATTTTAACAAGAAGTATGCAACATTTTGGTTGGACTAAAGAAGCAATCCACAGATATTCAATGTTATGAGTAATGTAAAACGTCCTTCAAAAGGACATTGATTAATGACTAAATGGGGCCTTATGATCCATCTCGCTCATAGGAGTTTTATTTACACAAAAATGTTCAGAGGGCAGAATGAAAAATGATTGGTCCAGAGAGATAACCAATCAGACTGTAGATGGGGTGGCCCCAAGCAACTACAGGAGGCAGGACCAACCAATCAGATGTCTTGCCCCGCCTCTTTTACAATCTGATTGGTTATCACTCTGAACCAATCATTTTTCAATCTGCACTCAGAACATTTTTGTGTAAGTAAAACTCCCACAAGGATCAATCTTATCTGTCTGTTTTCAGGTGGAGCTTAACAGGGAGTACAGGATACACAACATCATAACCCAGCAGAGCGTAGCAGCTTCCACCTACATAAACAGTCGCACCGTGTTCATGAGGAAAACTCTTCCCAAAGGCCGTTATGTTGTCATTCCTTCGACATTTAGGCCAGGGGTTCTGGGAGAATTCATGCTAAGGATATTTACGGATGCTTATTCTGGCTGCAGGTAAAGTACCTCTGCTGTAAGGCTGTACACATAAATGCAGTGTTCCAATGTCAAAGACAGCATGACAGATCAATCGTTCACTGCTTAGTGATGACTAAGGCTTGTTTTCCTTTGATCCTTTAGCCTTTCCTTTGAAAGGCTATTTTTTTTACCCATAATTAGAGTTGGTCATTTTATAAAAGCAATCCAGGTACTCAAGGCCACGGTATAGGGTTCCTCCCTACACTTCAGCTGGGAACACTCATATACCTGTTCTAGACCAGGGAATTACTAGCAATGTCCCTGCACTCACCTGGGGAATGCAGAGAATCCACAGCTTCCACCCTATATAATTAAGGATAAGGTATGAAAAAAAGTAAAATGAAACTAAAGCAAGTGGTTCTGTGTATGGCTGCTATCCCCAGGGAACTGGCACTGGACAAGCCAGCCATGACATGCTGCAGCTGGCTCCAGGGGTATCCCAGGCTGCTCACACAGATCTACGTCCACGGAGCTGAGGGGCTGGAGGAGCAGGACAGAGACGGGGGTGAGGAGGCGTGAGCGTGGGGCGGTGGGGAATCCTCCTGCTCAGCGGGATTTTCTCTGGGTTCTCATGCTTTGCTCCAGCAGTCCAAAGACATGCAGTTAGGCTGATCGGTTTCTCTAAATTCCCATAAATGTAGCAGAGTAATCAATGTATATCTCTACGTATCATAATTTTTTACATTTATCATGAGATTAGGTAGTTTAATCAAAATACTGTTACATATGATACTACTGTTAAAGCAGTTTATCAAGCTTGTATTTTAGCATGATTCTGCATGACCAATTAGGAAGGGCCAAACACCTGCTTCATTATGCCTCATACATGTAACATTAAAACAACTTTGAGTCATTTTACTAAATATTAGATAGTTCATATTTTAAATATCAATACATTGTAGACTGCAGATTTTACAGTAACTCTCTATCAATGGTTAACTCATGGGTGCCAATCAGAGGGGAAAGTAGTGATGTTTCTCTGATTCACCCTGCAGGAGCGGACCCCTATGTAATTATAGAGTGTGATGGAGATTCGGTTCGGTCCACAGTCCAGAACAACACACTGGAGCCAGTCTTTGACACCAGAGCCATATTTTACAGGAGGAATCCCACAAAGCCAATTACAGTGCAGGTGAGATTAAGAAGAAGTGAGATTAATCACAAGTCAGATTAATCACAAGTGAGATTAACTGCAAGTGATGTTAATGATCCAGCACAGCAGAATTGTGTGAGTAAATGCAGACCTGCTTGGTTCAGGTGTGCTGGGACCTGGGAGGAAGCAAAAATATAGACTGTTTGGAGGTTGTCTGGGGTGAGAATCACTGCTGTACAGGATTACAGTTATGGAAGATAACAGTAGAATCAGATTATATTCATCTAGATTTCTGCTAGGAAGTGTATCTATTTTTTCTTTCTACTAAAGGCAATAATTTAATAATAAAACAGCATACAGCACTTTCATAAGTATTGGCTTCTGTATTGGGGTCTATCTGTGTGTCTGTCTGTCTGGAGTCTGTTTTAACATGGTAAATTTGACCGGCTTTTTTTTTTTTTAAGATAGTCCGGAATTAAAACATCTATAGCAGACAATTCACCGCAGTGGGGCCAAAATGCATAGTTTCTTAATAACCTTAAAACGAGTTGGTTCATTTTCCAAAAAAGGTTCCAACTGTTTCTCGCTGCATATGTCTCTGCCTGTAAAATAATCTTAGCGACTCTGCATGGGTAATGCGGTACATTTAATGAATATGCACTTACTAGGTATGGAACAGCAATCTGGTGAAAGACCAGTTTATGGGGCAGGTGGTCCTGGCTGCCTCCCTAAAGGACTCATCAGAGGCACAGAGGCTGAGGCTGAAAAAGAGAGGCGCTGAAAGAGACGAGGACATGCCGGGCAGCGTCAGCCTGCGGGTCGTCAGCTCCAGCAAGCTGACGGACATGTGACACAGCGAATCAGCTGCACCGGTCCTCCTCGACACCCGGCCGAAGGGACTGGCCCGTAATACACAGACGCGGCCCTGCCACCTCCAGTCTTAGCGTAGCGGGAAACAGCGAACAGGTGGCCTTCCCTTTGGTGTATCACTTTGTACAAACACATTTCTTAAAGCAAATATCTGATAATATCATCCCACTAGACTTTGCACAATGTGCAATTATTAAAATCATTGCACATAATAAAGGAGTTATTTACTGAAATAACACTTACAGTGGTTTCATTTAACATTTTTTTTTCTAATAATCAATGTATTAACCAATGTACAGTTTAACTTTCCATTCTTTTGGTTAATCCTGGAAAAAAATGTAATTTAACCTTTGTTATTATCTTGAATGGACAAAAACATCTGAAATAGTTTGCAATGAAAAGTAAGTTTATTGAAAACAAAGATTATGTGGAGTGTTTTGTTTTCTATTTCAGTCCAATTTCCAAGCTGCAGTATTGATTGTTGTCAGTATTACACTCAAGACAGAGCCATGCACAATTCTTAATTCAAAAACTCTATTGCTTCAACCACAATTAGAAATATCTTTTTCTATCGAAAACTCCAATTTAGTAATTTTTCTTAAAAAAAGAAAAAAGGAAAAAAACCTGCTTAAGGTACAAGAGACTGATCAGCAGTGCTTTAATATTTCAAATAATTTAAGGTTTTGTTCTTCTTCAAACACATTTAAGGAGGAATTTCACATCACACGTACAGACTTACATATTGCCTGGGAATGGGAATGTACAGGGAGCATTGGAGGGAAACTGAACATTGAACATTTTTTTTCTTCCACCAGGAGGGGGCGCCATTTGTGCTCATTTCTTCAAATGGGTGGCGATCTCACAATACAACAGGGACACAGAGCAGGGCCAGAGCTTGTTCTGTGGGCCCGGAGTATAGCAGCTGCTGATTACCAAACTGGTACATACAGCATCACAGTACAGAACCTGGGGTACCACAATTTATTAAACACTAATAGAAGCTCAGCTTTATCTACATTGGCTGGAACAGGATTCTTTGTAAAACTTCATGACTGACATTTCGCTGTATTAAGCTGGACCAAAATATATATATATATATCGGTTAGCCTGTTCGCTTATATATACTGTATATCTGTAAAATATATACTGCAGAACAGTCTCTTTCTTTTTGAGAGTAGCTTAATGGGCATTTTGATAAGGGGATACCATTTTCACATCATCAAGTGGCTAGCATTAGCGCGTGTCTGACAGAGCGCGGTAGCAGAGAGATGGGAGCAGAGGATTCCCTGCTGGCGGACCACCCGTAAGGCATCTATGTGCCTGCAAGCCTGCCCCCTGCTGGTCTAAAACAGGCAGCTTGCATAAGAGCAGCTGGCAGACGTCTCACCGGCTATCAACGGGAAAATGTTCTTCATCTTTTCTGACGTGAACCATCAGCCACCATGAGTTGTAAAAATTCTGTATTTTGGACGGTGAATTTTTTTCTTGAAATTTATAGCCAGTTCAAACAAGAAGTGATGGAAAAAAATCAATAATTTGACATAAGAACCAATAGCATTCCATAGCTAACCAATGCGTTACTTCACCATTAAATTGCACAGTTCTTGAGGGTGTTTTTTTTTCTTTTTCCTAATACTGCAGTTTAGTTCCATTGAAATATCTACGGAAAGGCCCGGAAGGAAATTAAGACATGAAAATTAAAACGAGACTCCGGTGCACGTTTCCAATATCAGGTACAGTCACAAACAGGTACACACGATCACTGGCACAACCCGTAAATTCGTCACATTTTTTTAAAACACACACATCTTGACTGTCCCACCTTAACGTCTGCAACAGGAAGCTACCCAGACAGAAAATCGTAACCTAAGTTGAGAAAAGAAATCTGTAAAAATAGCACCCCTTTAATAAGGTATATAAATATCTGACAGACCAACAGCTGAATACACTTAGCGTACGTACAAAACGTGGGTTTTCTTTACGTCTCTCTCCCTAGTTGGTACAAATGGCTTGATATAATTTGGAATTCCTGCAGTAGATTAAATATGTTTTCTTCAGAACAAAAAAAGTTTTTTTGTCTTAGACAGATCAACAGGAACTCTTCCTCTTAGATGCGTAAAGGTATTTTGTTTTAGAGATGTTAGGAGTTTGACACAAAATGCTATAAAATCACCAACGTACTGATGGCTGGAGCTGTAATTGAAAACCGTCCTTTTATCGGAATAACACCCTGAAGTCACAGCAGAGCTACGACCTCCCACTTTCCCATGCGAATTAACCCATAACACTGTGGAAAATGGTCACATGATCATGCTGGAATAAGATTTAATGTTGCCGGCCGACGTAGGAGGTAAAGTGGAACCAAAACCAGGGCTGAATGGGCTAGAGAATGAGAGTCACAGTTTATACGGGCAGACACGTCTCTGCCTCTTTTCTTTCCGAATCCAGACGAGGAGCAAGCCCAAACAGCTTTGCCCCCCCCCGGTGTGTCCGGATGGCTTCTGTAAAAGCTGGGCTCCGTGGCCAGACCTTCCAGTCTCTGGGCAGATGCAGGAGTTCCACAAAACGGTAGCCTCCCTTTTCGTGAGTTCGCCCACGACTCTCTGTCTGACTCTGAGAGCCGGTGTCCTGTCGGGGCACCGTGCCAACACCAGACAAATCTCGGTCAGGGGATATGAAGAAGTCCGGTGCGTGTTCAGGCGAGCTCCCCACGTACGGCCCGCCCCGGCGGCCGAGCCTTAGCGGCCGCTGTTCTTTATGGCCTCCTTCGCAGCTATGATCAGGGGCGTCAAGCTAGAGAGAGGTTTGGCTAACTTCAGGAACGGATGCTGGGGGAAGAGCAATTAGGAGAGTCACGTCATCCTATAGTTTTCCAAAATAATGCACGGATTTAAGCAAATAACTGGAGAACATACTATTCAAAAGTATTACGGAAAATTGCATCGCCAAAACAGTCAGGGAGAAGAACATGAAATGATCAGCTTTTCAAAAAAAATAAAAAATTTACTCTTTTTAACTATTTTCTAATATTCCAAGAATGATGTAATTATGCATATATATCCAGCATGGAGGACCAAACTCAGATGACAAGCCTTCACTGCTCCTGACTGATATGACTGTAGAGTTTGGATTAAACCGGTGACAAGGTGACAAAGCTTTCGCAGCATTGCGTCAGCTACACCCTGGCTGAGATCTGAGCTCAAAAGCTGCAGCTGGTGTTTTTCTTTGGCTTGAAGCTACTTGTGTGCTCAGGTTTTGTTCTAGATCAGGAGTGGGGAACCTGATCCATGGCGGACCGGTGAGGGTGCAGGTTTTTGGGATGGCCTCTCAATCAGCCAATAATAAAGCAGTGGTTCTCAACTCCAGTCCTGGGGACCCTCTGTGATTGGCTGATTGAGAGGCCATCCCAAAAACCTGCCGCTGTACTTCACATGAAAAGTACCAGATTGGCTTTGCTATCAATAAAACACTCAGTTCATTGAACAAGTAGTGTAACATTTCTACAGTATGGAAGTAGCTGTGGTTTAAAGGAAATTTCAGGGCACTGGAATCACTAGGATCATCCTGAGAGCTGAATACTGCCAGACCACTTGTTTACATTATTTCTGAATGGGGAAACTACGCCTTCCACTTCAACACCAATATTAACAGTGTTGGGGAAGTTACTCACAAAGGTAATTCATTACAGAGGTGGAAAGTTCAGGTCCAGAAAGTACAAATCGAGGCCAAGGTTTTGTTTCAACCAGCTGAGTATTCTGTGACTGTGACTCTTTAAACTTGTCGGTTGAAACAAAACCTTGGTCTGGATTTGTACTTTCCAAACCTTTTGTGAATAACTTACCCAACACTGAATCAGATGAACCTTTTGCAGAAAGACTGCTAGTTGATTATACAGACGACACAATACACCAGAGATACCTGCAGAAGCTCCTTAGCAGAGCCTCTCCTGTCTACGTCCATCTCCAGGCATTCACTGAGGAACTCCCTGAAGACGGTGGAGAGTCGCTCGGGGTTCTGGAGTTCAGGCGTCCCGTTTGTAGCAATCAGGTAGAGGGCCTGTATGGAGACATGGACAAGCTGAAACTCACACGCGTACCGCAGCCAACTGAGCCAAATTAGGACTGACCAACTGACCAATAACAAGTGCAAGACAGTTGCAGGGATAAGAGACATATGAATACGACTTAGAAGCTCGCATCAGAGACACAACACAAACATCAAGAGAGACATAACTAAGATTCAGAGAGATAAACAAGAAAAAAACCATCCACTAGTGCAAAAAGAAACCACTGCAAAGGAAGAATCAAGACGGCACATATCAGCATCCCTAGTGCACTTTCAGACTGTTTCACGTCTTACTCTCTAGGATATGTGTAAGGCATTGAGAAGACAGCTCCACAGGGAGGGTTTAAATGCCAAGGAGATTAGATGCTTCCATAATTCAGAGGAAACATGCGAGCGGTTTATGAAGTCTGTCTGTTAGCTGCCAGAGAAGCTCAGCTCCTGTGCCCTTGAGGGAACCTACTAGTCAAAACTGCTCTGGTAAAATATCCAGCTAGATGAATAAAGATGCTTGGCTTAAGCCGTCGCCGAAGCAACAAGAACAAGCTAATAATCTGAATAATAATTTCCGCCCCATCAACATTTCTGCCGATGATGGCACCCAGCTGGTCCCCATTTCAGATGTAATCACCTGGCACATAGAGAGAAGGCACTTGGAAGCTGAATCGAAGGACACCCCCTCCGTAAAAAAACAGGTGATTACTGCAGGAAGGGGGCCTTTTTTTGGTTGGATGAGCTGCTTCACTTCCAATTTCTATAGTTTGTTTATTTAAAGGGACAGCACCCATTTCTGCACTGAACTATCCGTAATAACATCATTGGCATCTCTTGCCACACGTCTCCTGTTTGTGTATTCCTTCTCTTCAATGATCAGTTGTCCCAGAAACAACCACACATCTGTCAACATCAGAGTGTTTATCTTCATCAAACAGCAGGACTCGTGCCAGAGGAAGTTTTCATTCACCGCTCAGTGCGTTAACTACACTTTGGATTTCCAGCACCTCTGGGCCATTGGGAGTGGTCTGTCACACTGTCATACGTGTCACATGCTGAGTGACATGCCTGACACGCCACCTGCCTCATCATTAAATCACACACTTTCACCATATCTCAGTTATGGTACTGTTCTACAGACACAACTAATTCTGAAAGAGAATTCACTCCCGACCAGCACCACGGTCAGGAATACGTTAGCAGATTCTGTGACGTGAAAATGGGTTTTCTATTCAGAAATACTTTACCATCAGCTAAATAAAATACAGCATAATATGACATAAAAAGCAACTGCTTGGTAAAAATAAATCAAATAAAATGCATTGCAGATCAGAGTACTCGGCATTTCAACACTTTATTACCACCACAAATTCGCTATTGGTTTTGTGATACAAAGTTCCATGATATTTATTGTTCAGTGTGATTTACTTTTCTGCACATTTGTCTGCATTGTTTATTGTCTAATGCTGCTATTGTTATTCTTTAATGTGCTACTAACTGGCAGTCTGCTGGATGCCTGTGAGTAAGTATCTCCATCCACCTATCAGATAACTGCTTAATCCTAACTGGGGTGACGGGGGGGACTGGAGCCCATCCCGGGAACAATGGGCGCAGGCGGGAACCAACCCTGGGCAGCCGCCAACACAGCGCAAGGGCGCCCCTTACGAAAATTAACCATGGTTTTACTATGATTAAATAACCATGGTTTACAATGGTTTGCCGTTTTTTATTGTTTTTTGGGTAACTATGGTTTTATCATGGTTTTGCTACAGTTAAACCCTAGTATAATCTTGGTCATAAACCATGGTCTTTGTTTTACCATGGTCTTTCCAAACCATGGTAGTACTATGGGTAGTACCAAAGTACCATGAGGAACCATAGTAAAACTATGCTTACTGCATAAAGACCATAGGAAACCATAGTGAATTTTCATAAGGGCGCACACACTCACACAATGACGGGGCCAACTTAGAACCGCCAATCAACATATCCTGCACACTTTTGGACTGTGGGAGGAGACCGGAGCCCCCGACGGAAACCCACGTAAACACGGGGAGAGCGAGCGAACTCCACACGGGAAGGTCCTACACCCGACCCGGGGACAGAACCCAGGAACTTCTTGCTGTGAGGCAGCAGCACTAACCACTGTGCCACCGTGCCGCCCAGTAAGTATCTCATTGTACACAATTAAAACAATGACAAACTGTTAAACACCACCTGCCGATTCAAGTGTGACTTGTACTTTTGTGTGCATGCTCAGTGGAGCATTCCAGATGCCTAGGAGAACCTACCCTGAGAGGATTCTCGTTGAGATACGGCGGCTCCCCTTCCACCATCTCAATGGCCATGATGCCCAGGGACCAGATATCCACCTTGGGGCCGTAGGCCTTGCGGGTGACGACCTCGGGCGCCATCCAGTAGGGCGTGCCTACCATGGTGCTGCGCTTGTTCTGCTCGGGGGTGATCTGGGCGCAGAAGCCGAAATCGGCTGCACAGGGAGGGAATGGAGACACGCTCAAATGATTGAGACAAACACCACTTCGGGATATACCGAGAACTGGCGTAACAAAGGAGCCTAACGTCAATGCAGAAAGCTAACAAGGGCGGCATGCAATTAATTACACAATCTCATGTAGCTCTACAAGTAGAGTGCCATGCTAACAACACAAAGGTTCAAATCCCAGGCAGGATGCGTAAATTTTAACCCTCTACTTTAAGTCGCTTTGGATGAAAGCATCAAATAAATAAATAAATGCAAATGTATATCTGCAATACAAAGAAACACAAGAGGTCTGAATGCGAGCAAAGTGGCAGAAGGACAGCTGCAGTCTGCATGCTGACTTACTCAGTTTGACAGAGCCATCCATGCCCAGAAGGATGTTGTCACTCTTGATATCTCTGTGGATGACCTGGTTGGAATGCAGGAACTCCAGCGCCTGCAGACACTACAGAGAGAGCAGACAAAAAAAATGGGAAATTTGAGGCTATTTAGCAAAACACACATAAAAAAAATAGATGCAGGCAGGTATGTGAAGTATACAGAAAAACACCAAATGTGATGGATAATTTCCCTTCTGATCTGCGCCAGGATGACGAGCAGATGATTGGCGCTCACCTCTCGGCAGACAGAAGCAATCTGGCCCTCATCCATACAGGTCTCGGTTACCACGTCAGTCAAGGATCCCCCAGCCAGGTACTCCATCACCACCCAGAGCTCGTCTCCCACCAGATAGCTGACCGAGAAAGGCGGCGGGGGGCAGGGGGTCTGATTAAAACATCCAGACAGTCACTTACGCAGACACTGCTGTGAGGATACTGCTGTCATCCGGAAGGTAGCAGGGGGGGGGGTGTTTCTCATTAGCTCAAAGAATCACAGCAAAAAAATAAAAAATACCACACGTTGGAAAGCATTAAAATAGCAGATGTTCCTAAAAGGGGTTAGTACACATCAGCTACACTATATAAACTGAACTGAGGTTACACAAACTGGAACAAAACCAATATATATTCAACATCCCCAACCTGAAATCCAATCCAGTGACCCTGGTGTAAACCAAATTAAGAACTATTACCATGAAAAACCTTGAAAACATATGCCTCCTGCCGTTCAAAGGGTACCTTTCCTAGTTTATTTGAATGTTTTTGTTACCATAGTTACTGATAGGCTAATGTCCCAGAAAATAGGCATTTCTGTCCATGCTTGAGTTGGGATTGAGGAGCCAAACCTGTCCAGGTAGTTGACGATGTTGGAGTTCTTATTTTCCCTCATCACCAGGATCTCGTTGATGATCAGCTCCTTCTTGGGCTGCTGCTGCAGGTTCATCTGCTTGACTGCCACCTGAGTGAGAGAGAGAGCAAGAGGGAGAGAAAGAGGGAGAGAGAGGTAGGAGAAAGGAACTCAGTCATAACCCATCCTTGGAAATTTTTTTTGTGTATGCTAAGTATGCTAAATTCGTGCGTATGCTAAAACAGGAAGTGGCAGACACACACAGGAATACTTCACCCCTCCACTCCCAACTTCCCACATTCTACATTCACACATTTAGACTTTAATGTTTTCCAGGTTTTGTTTTAAACTTAAGGCGGTGATAGTGGTTCTAAAAAGAGAAAGGCTTTTGCAGACTGTGGTAAAAAAGCCTTTTACTGTTCAGTAATAGGCACAGTATGGTTTGTACTTTGTTTTTGCATTATGTACTACTGTATGTACATTGCTTGCACTTGGTTTTGCACTATGCACTAATAAGAATGCTGTTTTCACTTAGTTTAAATTTGGTTTGTTTGTGTCTGCCCTTTGTTTCTGCATTAAGCGTTTGCACATGTCCACTTTATGTGCCTCGCTGCTGTATGCTAAAGAATTTCCTCCCAGGATCAATAAATTATATCTTATCACATACAAAAAATGTTTACTTAGCTAATCTGCTAGAAAACGTCCCTCTAAACAGTAAATACAGTAAAAAAAATCTTTGCAAAAAAATAAGTTATTGTGTTGCAATTATGTTACGAAAAATAATCATTCGGTATGCCACTGCATTAGTGAATCAGTTTCACTTAAATAAAGTGACAGTTTAGCGACATCTATAGCAAAGCTGTTATTTTAGTGACAAAGAGCAGCAGTGATGTGCAGCATGAGGCTCGCTGACGGCACTGACCCGCAGTAACCTGTCCGACATCGGCAGCTCTAAAACCTCACCCCTCCAAGCTTCTGCGCGCCCCAGCTACACGCCGGAGATCGCAACGCTTCACCTTTCAATTTACTTTCCGTTTTATTTGTAAAGCCTGCTGAAACTCAATTGGAATTTATTAATCCATTCCCCACAAGGCAATCGGAACACATTCAAGCTAAAATCTCAAGCGGGCAAAAGCAAAAATCACAATTTTCCGGTTTTTGCATTTCTACAATTCAGTGCTAATGTCTGCTTCAGGATCAGTGGCTGCAGTTAAATACCGTCTTACATAATATATAGAAGCACTGAGACTGTTAACAGCTCTGACTACTTGACAGCTGTGTGCTGCTTATGTATTATCTGCCTCGCTCATACCTCACTTTGAGCAAGTCTGTCTGCCAAACAAATGTCAAACGTAAGTGATAATATACTGCATATCTGCTTAGTACATAAACGCTAACGACATCATAACCAAGGATGCCAATATGTCCTCGCTGATGCTTGTTCCGTTAGATGCAATGACCTCCTCCAAGACCCTGAATAGGACAAGTGGCTACAGAAAATCGATGGATGGATTGATGGATGGATAGATGGATGGATGGAGTTACCTCCTGTCCAGTGGCGACATCGATGGCTGTGTACACGACCCCAGATGCTCTGCAAGAAAATAACGTGAGTTACTCCAGTTCATTTAAGTTTAATTCTTCCAAAGACAGGAAAAATATATACATCAAGAAAGACTACAGAAAAGATGTTAGGAATTTAAGTACTAGGTATTATGTTGTTATTCAACAGACATGTCATTTCAACTGATAACGTCCAACAAAATTCATTTAATGAAAGTCTTGTGAACAGTCTGGGTTGGCTTAAAGGCATACGGATGCATTCCCCAAAAGAAGTACAGTACCAGTTAAAAGTTTGGACACGCCAAGCTGCCTACAAACAAGAACGATAGTGTCGCACCACATGACCTGGTCACCTGACCTGAAGACAGTAGAAATAGTTTTGACCAGAGAGTGAAGGAAAAGTGGCCAACAAGTGCTCAGGACATATGTGAGAATTTCTTCAGAACAGCTGTAAAAGCAATGCAGGAGGCCACCTCATGGAACTGGCATGGAGTAGATAGTAGGGTCAGTCAGTCCATGGAGCAACTGGGTTAAAGGGTCTTGCTCAAGGGCCCAATTGGGGGACAACTCTGCCGACCATGGAAACTGAACCTGCAACCTTCTGTGTTCCAGTCCACACAGCTGCTCCCCCCCCCCCCCAAAAAAAAATGTTTTGTTTAATACTTCTTTGGTCAGTACATAAATCTATGTATTGAATTTTATAGTTCTGACGTCTTTATAATTATCCTAAAATGTAGAGAATACTGCAAATAAACTTTTCTATCGGTAGGTGTATCCAAACTTTTGGCTGGTGCTGTATGCCAAACTTCTGTCATCTGATGACCTGATGACCGTGACTGGGGGGGCAGATGAATGGAATAAGACTCCAAGGTCACTAGATGGCAGTGTTGTTCACTACATCAGACAGCCTTGATCAAAGGAATCGTTTTCCTATTTATACAATAAATACCCAGTATCTGATTTTTTTTTGTATTGTCTTCCATCATCATGCCCAGTCTGTGACGCATGTGTGGCTGGATTATATATTTCCAGTAAATCAATGATCAAAGCACTTGTTGGGATTGAGTTTTGCTCCAGCGTGCCACTGGTAGCCATAAATCACCAGAGCTCAGCCCACGCAGTGCCTCTACACAGGCCGGTAGTGTGTTACACCAGGGCCGGCATGCCAGCACATCAGACTGCGGCATTTCCACAACGACCCGCCTCATCACCAGGAACACGGATTTCTCAATCCACCGTTAACTGACCTTCCCAGCTCACTCTCCGTAACTGCTGTCATCTGGCATCCTGCCAGGAGAGATACGTCGACCTTCCAGATGCGTATTATGTTTTTGGCAGGTAAATTATGTATGTATATTGATGTATATTATGTATGAGGGTTGTTGGGGTCTCTCGGGGCAGAAGGCCAGGGTACACCCAGAACGGGACGCTGGTCCATTTCAGGCACGTGCACACACACAAAGACCATTTACGAAACTCCAATTATATGGAGCAAACATCCAAGGTGTGGGAAGGACATACAAACTACACACACAGATTAGGTGTGGCATTCGAAAGTTCCTCTGCCAACATTCCTTACAGCTGCAAGCTGACCTACAAACCCATCCTGGTTAACCACCCCCCCCAACCCCCACTCTGCCAAACAGCTCAGCATCACGCCACACCGAGGGAAGATCTCATTTACATCTGCTAGGTCAGCCGTGTTCACCAGCAGCGACTTCTCAATCTCTTACCTATGTCCAGCAGAACATTCCAAACAAAAGCCCTCACCCTTGAATGAAAAAGCTTTATTCTTCCATACAGCCAAAAAATACACGGTACTTGCTGCTTATATCCAATTACATTACTCATATAAACTCTGTAATACCTGCTCATCATGATTCAGGCTTATCATGGTTTTTCACTGCTCTATTTAAGCTGGTACTCACTTCTAATCCTACATCCATATTCTACATCCATATCAAAATTCTACATCCTGTAATTTTACAGCCCCCTTTCCTTTTAGCATTGTTTTTGATAATAGACTTAAACTAGCCAACTGTATCCAGGTTTCTCTGAAGGCACCAAATAAAGAAATAAATGAAACGGTAACGCTGTCCTGAATTAACCTTACTGCCATTACTGAGACAGATCCTGATATGTTCATGTACTTCATTAAGAGATTTCAGTCCTCGCAGCAGTCAAACAATCCATGAGCAGCTAGGGTGCTTGGAGGTTAAAGGTCTTACTCAAGGACTCAGTGGTGAAATGACTGTTAACCCCAGGGATTGAAACAGTGAGTTTTCAATCACAGGCACTGCATCCTAACCCACTGAACCACATCATATATAAAACGGCACGTAACATACATCAAATGGCATGCGACCATCTGCTTTCATTTTATTACGATTACTTGTTATCTGAAGCAGATGCCTCGTTCGAGAAGCAGGCACACGGCTGATTTAAAGAACGATCGATGATGCTTTTCCCTCACAAACGAGACGAGTCGCATGTTACACGCGAAACGACTGCAGATCCAATGATTCCGCACGATTAATGTCGAATCTGTGAGGCGGAGCTGGGAAAACTGAATGTAAAGTGGAGTCTCACAGTGGCTGGATGTATCGCTTTATGCTCGAACGAAGGCCGCAATACTGTCAGCTCCCTCCGTCACCTCGCTAACCGTAGCGGTAGCTTAACACTTGCATTTTGTTGCGCGTTGGCGGACACTGACGTACCCTTGTCCTATTTTCTCGAAACGTGTGTATTTCTTCTTCGGATCCCCCACACTCACGATGGTCCCTGAAAGCAGAACAAGAGACGGCAGCAGTTACCTGGGACACCCCTGCGCAGTGGGAGCAGAGACCCTGTGCGCTGGTTACTAGCATCAACCCAAACCTGGCTGGGCAGGTTAACATTCCAGGCCTGGAGAATGCCACAAATTACATCATTTGGACTCTAAAGCTGTTTGTTTACTAGCAAAAAAAAAAAAAGACTAGGCAGGAGGAGTACTTGGATAGTTCATGCATGCAGAGGCAATTCTTGTCTAAATAGGGGCCAAGCTATCTAAATACTGATAATACATAACATTTGTTAGTATAAGTGCACACTACACTTTTAACATTAAAAGTCTCGGCTTAGGCGCACGTCAACCTCACTCAAGTTAGCTGAAAAATTTTCAGTGCCGTTAATTTTGCATATTTAATAATAAGTCCAAAAAGTAGTATTCCCAGTGTTTAGTTACTTTGTACATACAGGGGCATAATTTTATATAATATACAAACAACCTAAAAGGTCTTGATAGGAAATGACAAAGTAATTAGACATGCATAGTGTAGAGTACAGTACTGTTTGATCAGAAATTTGAAATAGTCTTTCTGTTATCGTTCAGGCCAGCAGACTGTTAAGGGTTAAAGTTAGATGAACCCAAATATTATTCGCAAATTTTCACATCCCCTATCTTTGTATCTTTGAATGAATATCAAGGGGTTACTGTATATCCAATACAGGAAGTAGGTTCTGGAATCGTAAGGACAAATCAAAATACAAAATTATTAATGTTAATGTTACATTTTATTAACTAATGTTTATTAATGTTATCTTGTAATCTTACTGTTATTCATGGGAGATACGTGAGCCATAGAATCTGAATGGAATTTTGAAAAGCCAGCTACTTATAAAAATGTATCACAGAACCAGCACTGGTAAACTTCAAAGCTTATCATTAGCCAATGATATGTTTTGAATCAGTGAGTGACAGGCCCTATGGTTCCGCCCCTATATAACAACCCTGAATGCATGAGATTTTAAAAGTGCAAAAATATAAAATTATTTCAGTTTAGCATTTATTATCTATATGTATTGCTGATTTTTCACAGCCAGCTTCACGCAGGGGGGTGAACTGACAGGAACATGTAGGGGGGAGAGAAGCAGAGATTATCGACGGTCAGAGGCACGAGGCTCACTCAGTCGCTCCAGGATCTCCTCATCTGTCATCTTGGATTTCTTCTTCTGCCGATCCGTCTGGCGGTAGAGGCTGCTGGCAGTGGTCTTGGGGGGTGTGGACTCCGGCGAGATGACTACCTCTTTCACGGGAGCCGGGGGGGCTGGTGGCTCCATGACAGAGCGCGTGTAGATCTGTGGGGAGAGCAGGGGGGGTCACTGTTGGTTAATCTGGCCATTAAATGCTGCCTGGATTTGTCATCCCTGATCTATAGACATAACGTGAGATGGATCAATCAGTGCACTAATGAGGGAGGCTGGTAATACGTTACCCAAACACAAAACACAATCACTGTGGGAAATGCTCGTTTGCTATTTCTATGAGATAGCTTTCAACTCATGGCAGTTTTGCTTACATGAAAATGTTCTGAGGGCAGAATGAAAAATAACTGGTTCAGTGAGATAACCAATCAGACGGTAGAGGAGGTGGGTCCAAACAACTAGAGGAGGCTGGATGAAGACATGTGATTGGTTGGTCCCGCCTCTTCTAGTTACTTGGACCTACCTCCTCTATAATCTCATTGGTCGTTTCTCTGAACCAGTCATTTTTTGATCTGCCCTCAGAACGTTTTTGCAAAAGCAGGTAGCATCAGTGGAAGGTATAATGGTAGCTCAGTAGGCAGCACTGTTGCCTCAGACCTCCAGGGTTTGGGGTTCGAATCTCTGCTCTGTGTGTGGAATTTCTAATGTCTCCATATGTTTTGTTGTTTGCTCGCAGTGAGTTGGCATCTCTAAACCTGACCATGGCATATGTGGGCTTTGCGAGAAACTAGCATCCCATCCAGGGATTTCCCCTCCCCTGTACAGCCTAAGACAGCCTTCCATCCTGGAAATTCTGTAATGGCTGCACAGTAGGGAGATGGATGGAGGCATATTACCAGAAGGCATTGAAGAGACAAACAGGACGAGGTCACGCCCTCTCCCCACATTTCATCACTGACCGCAGTGCTAACCCTTGCTGTACCTGCTGAATCACCGTAACTCGCTGACTACAGAGTTGATAGCTGCTTTTAGTTTTATAGCTCAAAAACATGTAAAATTTCATTGCACTGCATTATAATATCAGGAAAGGGAGGTAACAAAAAAAAGCCGCCCATTAAAGTATCAGCAGCAATAAGCCAATTTTCCAGCCTTCAACCCTGTCCCCATATCAGCATAATCGAGAGCGAACTTGAAGCACAGAAATTGGCTCACGTTATGTTTATCATGTAAATCCTCATACACAGAATGTGTTACTCCAGCTGCCCTGTAATGGCCGCAGTTCACATATAAGCGGTACTGGGACGGCGAGTTAATTCTCAAGCTGCACAGAAGTTGTTTTTCCTGCAGCTGGTCCCATTTGGAGTTTTCGGCCTATTCTGCCGTGACAGGAATCTCTGCCAATCACAGTAAATATTCCTCAGTGGCTCATTAGCTGTGCCTGAGAACAAGCATTAGCTGGCAGATTATTAGCATTTTTACAGACTGCACAGGTTATTAGTGGTCTGTTAGCTTTGTTTTTTAACACTCCCTCTCACATCCTTTCAGAAGCTGATGAAGACACGCGATACATTTGTGAGGTTGGAAACGGAGGGAGTTATATCCTTACCGACTTGGTGTGCTCTGGTCGGGGCGCGATGGCCGGGGGCGGCTCGTCGTCATCGTCATCTTCCTCATCCTCCTCCTCTTCCTCCTCCTCTTCCTCCTCCTCCTCAGACACCGGAGGAGCTAGCGGGGGCTCAGACACCGGCTTCGTTCCCTGCGCGAGAAGAGGGGCAGTGATCACACTCGCTCGGCCCCTCCTCCTGAGTGGTCAGGTGACTCTGCCGTCCGCGGGGCCGTGCCCTGTTGTAAGAGCATGCCCTGGTTACTACGGTGACTCCGAAGCACAGAAAGCAGGAACTGGAAAAGCACTGGCAGCCTGGGACGCGGGAAAATGCCAACAATGAAGTCCTAGGAAACGCACCACTCACCTTGACCTGGTCACATCTCCATGGTAACCAAGAACTCATTCAACACACAGCTTTGCACCTGTTTACAGCCAAAAATCACTTCAACCCTGAGACGCTGAGCTAAAAACTAAAATACAGTAACTCCTAATACGGCAACCCCTTCATATTCGCACATTTGACATTCACAGTTTTTGTTATTCACGAGTTAGCTGTGACCAGCTAAACCAGAACATTTTTTTAGCTCGCCGAATGACTGCAGTAAGTTGCAGATGACGCGAGAGCCAAACATAATACAGAAAATTATTTGGATCACATAAAATCATATAATATCTAAATACTGATAATACATAACATTTGTTAGTATAAGTGCACACTACACTTTTAACATTAAAAGTCTCGGCTTAGGCGCACGTCAACCTCACTCAAGTTAGCTGAAAAATTTTCAG